ACTCAACACATCCAGATCTAAGCCTTCATCACTTGATTCAGTAGACACTCAAGTTCCCACGAAAGTTTCCAGCCATGTCTGAGAAGCAGCCGTGGGGCAGGGGCAGGCAAGGAGCGAGCTGTTCTGGCTGCTCAGGGCCTGGCCTCTGTTGCTCTGGTTCATTCCACAACCAGTTGCTCTGGGTCTGGTCACTGCCGCTCCCGACCTAGTTGCTCTGGACTTGGCTGCTGCTGCTCCGGGCCTGGCCGCTCCCAGCCTGGCAGCCGCTGCTCCGGGCCTGGCCGCACCCGACCCGCCTGCTCCCCCGGGCCTGGCCGCTCCCAGCCTGGCAGCCGCTGCTCCGTGCCTGGCCGCACCAGCCCCGCCTGCTCCCCCGGGCCTGGCCGCTCCCAGCCTGGCAGCCGCTGCTCCGGGCCTGGCCGCACCAGCCCCGCCTGCTCCCCCGGGCCTGGCCGCTCCCAGCCTGGCAGCCGCTGCTCCGGGCCTGGCCGCACCAGCCCCGCCTGCTCCCCCGGGCCTGGCCGCTCCCAGCCTGGCAGCCGCTGCTCCGGGCCTGGCCGCACCAGCCCCGCCTGCTCCCCCGGGCCTGGCCGCTCCCAGCCTGGCAGCCGCTGCTCCGGGCCTGGCCGCACCCGACCCGCCTGCTCCCCCGGGCCTGGCCGCTCCCAGCCTGGCAGCCGCTGATCCGGGCCTGGCCGCACCCGACCCGACTGCTCCCCCGGGCCTGGCCGCTCCCAGCCTGGCAGCTGCTGCTCCGGGCCTGGCCGCACCTGACCCGGCTGCTCTGGGCCCGGCTGCCCCGGGTCCGGCCGCTCCGAGCCTGGCCACTCCCGACCTGGATGCTCTGGGCTTGGCTACTGCTGTTCTGGGTCTGGCTGCTCCCACCCCGGCTGCTCTGGGCCCGGCTTCTTCGGGCCTGGCCACTCCGGGTCTGGGTGTTCCTGGACTGGCCACCCTGGGCTTGGCCGCCTCCGCCTCATGCCTGGCTGCCACTGCCCCAGGTCTGGCTACTCCAGTGCTGGCTGTTGATGCTCTGGTTCTGGCTGCTGTTGTTCTGGGGCCTGGCCGTTGCTGCTCCGGGTCTGGCTGCCACTGCCTTGTGCCTGGCCACTCTAGGCCTGGCCGTCGCTGTTCCAACATTCTGTCCTTTTTTTTTCTTTTTAAAACGCATTTATGTTGCAATGTTGGCTGGTGAGTTGAGTTCTGACTTAGTCTTTGATTTTTCAAGATCTTCTTTGTATTCTTTCTTAAGTAATTTTACTATTTTTTGCTCTCACTTGATTTCTTCACATTGAGAACTTCTTTGGTTTCTTCCTCCTTGTCCTGGGAGCTCAGCAGGTTGGCCTGTGGCACCCCTTTGTTCTCCGCGGGCTCCTGTGCTGCTTCAGCCTGTTGCCGGGACGGCGGCGCCGCCCAGGAAGCAGCCCCCGGCCTTGGCTCCATTGCCCGAGCTCAGTGGTCAAAGGCTCAGGGGCACCCACGCCCCCAGGGGCCCCGTGGCCCGCCTCCTTGCTGGTGCCCTGTTGGCTGGAGTCCGGCAGGGGCTTCCGCTCCCCTCCGCGTTCCCCCAGCCTAGAGCTTTTTTTTTTCTCCTTCCCGCTAGGGAAGTCCAGCATCAGAGTCAACAGACTGTCCTCTGCGCGCAGTTTGCGCGAGTCCCACAGACTGTCCTCTGCGCACAGTTTGCGCGAGTCCCACAGACTGTCCTCTGCGCGCAGTTTGCGCGAGTCCCGGGGGCCCGGCCTTTCGCCGCTCTTCCCGGACTCCACCTCACAGCCCCGTCTCCCTCTGCCTGAGCCTGGGTCCCCAGGGATTGGCCCAGAACTGGGGTTCGGAGCAGTCCGGACTGAGGCTCAGCGCCGCCGGAGGCCTTGTTTCTTCCGGCTAGGGCAACCCAGCATCAGAGTCAACATTCAGTCCTCTGCGCGCATTGCGCGTGACTCCCGGGGCCCTGCCTTTCGCCGTTTTTCAGCCTCACGGCCCCGTCTCCTCCCGCGGGAGCCTGGATCCCCAGGGTCTGGCCCATAACTGGGGCTCAGCGCTGCCGGTTCGCGGGGGGGGGGGGGGGGGGGGGGGGGGGGGGCTCAGCGCTGCCGGTTCGGGGGTTCAGCCCAGGCTGGGGGTTTTATTTCCTTCCTGCTAGGGAAGGAAAGGCGGCTCCCCGCCCTCTCCTCCTCTCCGGCTGCGACCTCTCCGTGCGCGCGTGCGGGCGGGCAGGCGCGCGCAGCATGTCTCCGTACCTTAGGCTTTTTTTCAGCTCCTCTGATTTTCTTTCTGGTTTTCTCTTTCCTTCTTGTTGTAGAAATTTCAGTCAGTCGACTACCTGTAGCTCTGGGCAATGTCCACTCTACATTTTAGTTGTATTCCATTGAAATTGTTGTGTGCTGCCGCGGCTAGATGTCTACCCGAGCAGCCATCTTGGATCCTGTCATAACTTAGTTTCTCCAAAAAATAAATTGCAGTTAGGGGGTAAGGGAGAGGTGTAGAGGGAGCTAAACCAGAAGAACCTTAAAGCATATCAACCAGTAGCAATGTGAAGACCTTGAGCTTAGGTTTTATACATATATGTACATATAAACATATTCTCTATGATATATATGTAATTCATATACAAATATGTGATAATGGAAGAATGTGAGCCATAACTTGATGTGAGATATTAAACAATGAAGAAATTAACAGTAATTTATTTTGTTAAATGGGATTGTGATTGTGTTTAAAGAGTTCATCCCATTTAGAGATATATGGGGAAATAGTTATGGGTATATTGATGTAATAATACATGGGTGACGGGGATAGATGGTGTATATATGTAATAACATTGACCATAAATAGATCATCGAAGGTAAGTAAGTGTCTTAGTCTATTTGGGCTGCTATAACAAAACACCACAGACTGGATAGCTTATAGACAACAATATATATTTCTCACAGTTCTGGAGGCTGGGAAGTCCAATATCAAGGCACTAGCAGGTTCAGTGTCTGGTGGGGGGCCCAGTTCCTCATGCGTAGCAGTCTTCTCACTGTAACCTCACACTGCAGTGGAAGGATCAAGGGAATTCTCTCTGGCTTCTATTTTAAGGGTATTAATTGCATTGGTAAGGGTACTGCCCTTATGACCTACTCGCCGCCCAAAGGCCCCACCTCCTAATAACATCATTTTGGTGTTAGGTTTCAAAATACACATTTTGGTAAGGGGCTGGGGTGGGGGGGGGGGAGAGTATAGAAACATTCACCCTGTAGTACAAAGTAATGGGTAGAAGGGGTCCATTTAATTAGATAAGGTTGTTTAGGTTATTTGTGTGTGTGAAATTAGGTTGTTTATATGTGTAAATTTTCCCATTTGTCCTCAAAATCTGATGGTCTATCAAGTGAGGTGGCTGGGTCAAAGAATGGCTCACAGGTCTGAAAAACATAAGAAGCCATTGTTAGGAAGCATACAGCACAGTGGTTTCTATGGCAAGCTCTGAAAACCAACACCTGAGTCTGTGTGACCTTGAACTTCACTTTTCAGAGCCTGTTTCCTCAGATGAGAAGTGGAAATAAAAATGGTATCTACACCATAAAGTTATCACAAAGATTAAATGAATTCACTATCTCAGAACATTGTATGGTCTACAGCAGTGGACGGCAAACTCACTAGTCAACAGAGCCAAATATCAACAGTACAACAATTGAAATTTCTTTTGAGAGCCAAATTTTTTTAAACTTAAACTATATAGGTAAGTACATTGTTATTAACTTAATTAGGGTACTCCTAAACTGGCCTTTGCTAAAAACTCAAGTGGCCAAAGAGCTGCATGTGGCTCCCGAGCCATGATTTGCTGACCACTGCTCTAGAGTAAGCATTCAAAAAATGTTAACTATCATTATTATTACATTAAAAAAACAAGTTGAAATAAACCACCAGGGTTTTGAAACACATGTATCCAAAATATGCTTTTAATCTTGATGAAGTTCACAAATGACACAATATTGACATTTTCTTAAATAAATTATACAATCAAGCTCTTAGACAACAAGGCATAGCATCACCATTAAAACAAAGCATAGCATCACCCCAGAGATCACAAGAGGCAGTGATTTCATGTCTCCTTTGGTTTGGCATAGCTGCCATGAACAACAGGATAGCTCTCAAAGAACCAGTTTGCTACCAGATAAGCTGATGAGAGACGTCATCACGTTTATTGCACATAGAATCAAATATAAAAACGATGCACAACAAATATGGAATTTGTAGTATATTTTGCATTTAAATTCTTTTTTTTTTTTTTTTTTAGTGAAAAGGTGCTTTTTTTTTTTAATCTATTTGGATGCAAACATGTATATCATCCCTGGGGTCTTCTCACCAAGTTGCTGTCAACAGAAATTAATAGAAGTGGTGAGTTCAGATTCATTGTAACCTGAGATTTAAAAGAAAAAAAAAAGTTAAAAGAAGAAGAAAGAGAAGAATGAGAACTAGAAGAACAAGAAGGAAATAAACACAATTATTACTGAAAAGAACATTAATTTATAGAAGTGCTTCTTTAACTAAACAGCATTTATAAATTATAGATATGAGATATAAGCAGGCTTTTAAAGTAAATGATAGGAAAAAAAAAAAAAACACCTCAACCATCACTATGAACATTAGCAGTAGTGTTAAGATGATAGCCCTCTGGACTAAACCTGTGAACATTGAAGGGTTGAAGGCTTTCTGAACCTATATTCGTTAATGAGGAACGGCCTGGCTAAGATTTGCAGGGCTCTCCCTTTCTGAATTCAGCAAGCATTTTTTTATTCATTTCTCTTCTCAGAAAGACCAAATTGCATCTCTATAGCCTGCCCTAGTGCTCTGACTTCAAGCTGAGTTGTAAAAGGAACCCACTACCTCAGGAGAGAAGGATCTGAGGAACCAGGTCCAGTGGGTTTCAAAATGTGAATGTTAAAAATTCCAGATACCTTCCCCTATCATCCAACAGAACAAAAGCAGTTACCTTCTTCCTGGAGTCCTTTAGCAGCTCAGGCCTGAAGTTCCCTACGGCGACGGCCATAGGAATCAGGGCCCACATTAGTGGGCACAAAGTCTTCCTTAAATATCCCCCCATGTTTGCTCAGAATGTCTTCCAGCCGATGGATCACACAAGTGGAAGTGTTGCAGCTTCTCTTCTTGGGAGTGACACTGATTTGCAAGATGGAAAAAGAAGAGACAGCCTGCTAGTGAGAGTTGAGTCTGGAGCCTACCCAATAAGAGAACTGTAGCCCTTCAACATACCACTTAAGAATGAGTGTTTCTGGCCCTAGCTGGTTTGGCACAGTGGATAAAGCATCAGCCTACATACTGAAGGATCCCAGGTTTGATTCTGGTCAAGGGCACATGCCCGGGTTGCAGCTTGATTCCCAGTAGGGGGCATCCAGGAGTCAGCTCTCTCATCATTGATGTTTCTATCTCTCTCTATCTCTCCCTTCCTCTCTGTAATCAATAAAATATATGTTTAAAAAATAATAAATGTTTTTGGAAGAATCAAGATGGCAGCATAGGTAAACTCTGGTACTTGCCATCTCCCATAACCACAACAAAATTACAGCTAAAATAAAGAACCATTGTTCAGAACTGCCTGAAATCTGGCTGAATGGAAGTCCTACAATAAGAGAAGTAAAGAATAAAGTACATTAAGACTGATAGGAGGAGCGGAAGTGTGGAATGGATTGGCCCAACATCCACATGTGGTGTCTGTGGTTTTTTTAATCAGGAGGGATATCTCCACTGTGGAGGCCTTCTATGAAAAGCGAGGAGTTCCAGCCCCACACCAGAACCCCAGTCAAGGTTTCCAGAGCAAGGAAGAGAAGTCTTCATAATTTGGGGCTGTAAAAACAAGCAGGGATTGTAGCTAGTGACATGGAGGCTACTAGAGACCCAGGTAGTTCCTCTTAAAGGTCGGGCACATTACTTGTCCATACTCCATCTGGGCTCCAATACTGTGGGCAGTTTTGGAGGACCCAGGAACATACAGGAAGGAACTTGATTGTCTGGCATTGGAGCAAGGACTCAGGGGTGGTTTTTTTCCCCAGAAGGGGTGCTTGCAGAGATCATTGTTCCTATGCTAAGACCTCCCATGTTGCAGGGCTGACTGATAGCCATAACTTAATTTCTATGACCATAGCTCACACTGTTTACTCTGTCCTGGTGATTCCCTAAGACTCTGTCCCATCCAATTTGCAGTCCCACCCAAGCTTTTGCACCTATTTTTCCATACAAATTGCCTCTCCTAGCTCAGGCTTTAGACCTTCCTAAAATCTCTCAAACTAGCAGCAGCTAGCATCAGCATGCCTCAAATGTATCAATAAAAGGCCTAAGACCCAGCACTAGCATCAGCCTGCCTTGCTTCACAGCAGGGCCTTGCCTAGGCAGTTCCAAGCCAAATAAAAATAGCAACCACCTGCAGATTTCTCTGTAGTTCCTGCCAGGTGGCCCCAGCCAGTGGCTGACTTTGCACCTCTCTGGAGGCCCTACAGCCAGTGCACCCAGTGGACAACTTCAGACCATACTAGATTACAACTCTACATATCCATAGGGGACACACTCAAGGGGCAGACTCAGTGAGCACCAAAGCCCCACTGAAGCAAGTCCTGCTCCATAGGAGTATGTCCTACACAGCAGCTGGTCCTCACAGTCAATTGGCCTGGAGGTCCTCCCAGTAATGCCAATAGCAATCAAGGCTCAACTCAACAATACTGTGCACACAGCCCACACAGAGGTGTATCTAGAAGGTCCAGCTCAGGTGTCTGGGGAGGCTGAGCCACTGGGCCCTAAAGAACACCTACTATACGAGGCAACTCTACCAATTCCAGGAGACAAACCTTACACATAGAAACAAACACAGGGAAGCAGCCAAAATTTTGAGACAAAGAAACATATCACAAAGAAATAGAAGCAAGCAAACTACTGGATACAGAGTTCAAAACAATAGTTATAAGGTTACTCAAAGATCGTAAAGAGAGCTACTTCAAGGGACTTAATGAGACTTTCAATGATCTTAGTAGTAATTTCAAATACAGGAAAAGGATCAGTCAGAAATTAAGTATACACTGACTGAAATAAAGAGTAATATATAGGGATTCAACAGTAGAGGATCCCAAGAATCAAATCAATGATTTGGGATATGAGGAAGCAAAAAACACCCAGTGAGAAAAGCAAAAAGAAAAATAATACAAAAATATAAAGATAGTGTAAGAAGCCTCTTTGACAAATTCAAACATACTAACATTTGCATTATGGTAGTACCGGAAGGAGAAGGAAGAGAGCAAGATATTGAAAACCTATTTGAAGAAATATGACAGAAAACTTCCCCTTTAAGCACAGAGAGCCCCAAACAAGAGGAACCCAAAGAGGCCCACACCAAGACACATCATAATTAAAATACCAAAGATTAAAGACTAAGAGAGAATCTTAAAATTAGCAAGAAAAAAGCAGTTAATTACCTACAAGGGAACACCCATATAACTGTGAACTGATTTCTCAACAGAAACTTTGTAAACCAGAAGGGAGTGGCAAGAAATATTCAAAGTGATGAATAGCAAGAACCTATAAACAAGGTTACTCTACCCAGCAAAGCTATAATTTAGAATTGAAGTTCAGATAAAGAGCTTCACAGACAAGAAAAAGCTAAAGGAGCATACCAAACTAATAGTGGAAGGATATTCTTTAAGAAGAGAAATAAGAATGAGGCTGAAAATGAAAAGAAGAAGAATGAAGAAAAGGAGGAGGAAGATGGGGGAGGGGTGAAAGAGGAAAAGTAGAAATAAAAATATGAACAATAAAATGTCAATAAATACATATTTACCAACAATTGAATCTAAAAATCAAAGTAAATGAACAAGAAATCTGATGAACAAATTACACTGATAAATAAAGAAGCATGGAAACATAGAAAATATCAGAGGGAAGCGGGAGAGGGGCTGGGAAGAGATTAACCAAAGATATGCATTAACTATGGACTCAGACAATAGGGTGGTGAAGGCTTGGGGCAGGACAGAAACCTCGTGGAGGAGTGCATCTGTAATACTCACAATAATAAAGATTTTTTTTTTTAAAAAAAAAAGACAACAACAAACTAAAATGGCAAAATTTTTATGTATATCTTACAAAAATAAAATAAAAAGTGTGTGGGCAGGAGGGGGGTGGAGGGCGGAGAATAAGGGTTTCTTCTATATGCAATTACTAAATTTGCTAGAGGAAATGGCCTGGCAGCCTTTTCTAGGAGCCCTTCATGATAAAACTCAGTTCCTAACCTGAGACACATACTGAAACCTTCCACTTATTGTCCCTTACATATAATCTCTTCGGGAACGAAAAGAAGTTTTTGACAAAGACTTAAGCCCACCTCAGGACATACAAGAAGCATACAGAAAGCATACCTCAGCCATGAGCACCAATGAAACCACTTTCCATGGGAAAATAAAAATTCCCTTAAGTTTTACCTGGAAGAAGCTCAGAGAACTTCTTTCAGGTAAAACAAAAAGTGCTTACCTGCTCTTCAGCACACCTGTTCTTCTTCTTCTTCTTTTTTTTTTTTTAGATCCCACACTGCAACTAATATTTTTGTTGTTGTTTTGTTAATCCTCACCCATTGATTTTTTTATTTTTTTATTTGAGAAAGAGAGAGAGTGGAAGGGAGGGGAACAGAAAGAGAGAAACATTGATGTGAGAGAGAGAAAGACATCAATCGGTTGTCTCCAACATGAGCCCTGAGGGGTCTAGGATCCAGCCTGGTACAAAATATGTGCCCTTAACTAGAATTGAACCCAAAACCCTTTAGTCTGCAGGCAGACATTCTAACCACTGAGCCAAATCAGCTAGGGCAGCACATCTCTTCTTGATGCTGGAGTTGGTTCCCAGTGACCCCTCACCAAGCCCTATACCCAGCTGTCCTCAGACTAACGTTACTTTTAACCATAGGCCCTGGGCACCTTCAAGTCTTAAATATGGACTAGAGTAATGACCATCACGTTGTACATTCTTTTAGAAAATGGGTTTATTCATCAAAATTTATGCTGAGGGATAAAACAGAAACCAGAGGACTCTGCGGTGATATCCTCTAGGATCTCAAGAAGCTTCCCTCAGTCTCTCTTATCTCTCACCTGGTCTGAGTCCCACTCTCTTTTATTCCATCCTGAGGTCCCCAACATTTTCTGTCATGAGCAAAGCTACCAATACCAGCTTGAAAAGCAATCAGAGTGAAATTTGCATGCACTACATTCATCAATGAGAGCAAGAAAGAAAATCAGAAGAAATTCCATTTCACTTGGAATCCTTGGGCACCCCAAAACTGGGATAGCAGTTCTTCTCCAAACCACTGGCTATATCCCTTTTCTTGCCAAGTGTTTCAGCCCCAAAGCCAATGCCGGAGAACGTAAGAAAATTGTTCAGACACTTCAAGTATGTGCCCAGAACACAAATACTCAGAATGCTGCACGGCTTAGTGATGGAGCTGTCCAGACTGTAAGGAAGACAAGCCAGACAATACCATGCACCAGGTTGGCCTCCAGTGAGGGGCAGTCATACAGGGAGGGGGTACTTTGAGCAGGAGCAGGAGGACCAGGCAGAAGGGCAGCTCACACATCTCCCATTAAGAGAAATCAAGCATTTGCTGAGTCAGCGCAGTATGGGGAAGGGCTGAAGTGGGGAAGGGGTCCTCTTTCCTGCTCAGGCCTTCATGCTCTGCAGAGAGGTTCTCAGAGCAAGTGCAAGTGCAACCCATGCCTCTGCCTCGGTCCTCGGCAGTGCTCCAAGCTCAGGGTGCAATAGAGAGGTGGGGCTGGGGAAGGGTGTTATCCCCAGCCTCATGACAAACATATACATCTTCACAGATCCTATACATGTAAAGGCCTAGACCTAACTCAGACACTGCTCTAGTTGACCCCTCCCTCTGCTTCACCTTGCAAATGTTCAGTGAAGGCTCCTTGCAGGTGTGAGGTAACAACACACTGGTTACATTTCTAAAACATCCTGAGATCTGCTGGCTTCGAACTGACCAGTCTTAATTCACCCAACGCTGGGATGTCTTCTCAGTAAAGCAAGACCAATTCCCAGAGGAAGTGATTCCACGCCACCTCATTTCCTTCCCTAACAGCTTTCAGGAATGGATCTTTTCAATGTGTCTAACCACAATCACTCCAGCTGCCCTGAACCTTTGTCTTCCGTGGAGCAGGAGAATGGCCGGGCTCCAGAGCCTGGCAAACAAGGCCATCCTGCTGGACTTCTGGCCAGATTTTTTTTTTCCTGGATATGCCAAGGTGAGGAGGGTGCCTTACCTGGAGTCCTCTCCCTCCAGGCCCTGTTTCTCAGGCTGGTGCAGCTCATTGGTGTTCCTCTGTGCATAGGCCTTCACCAGTGAAGCCAGTATGAGGCGCCCATCCTTCTCATTGAGAGCAGCAAGTTCTGAGTCTGGGAGGCTCTCCAAGGCCCACCTGGGGGGGGGGGGGAGGGGAGCAAACCCAATACAGGCTATGAGTCCCTGTCTGGCCTCTCTCCAGGATAAGCAGCCAGGCTTCCTGCTCATGGGGCATGCCCTGAAAACGTGACCTTCTCTCCCCACGCCTAGCCCACAGGGCTTGAGGCCAGTGTCCACCTGAGGGTGCTGATTCCCTGGGAGCCTCACTGTTGCGACTTCAGAGGCACAGAACTGCCTGATCCAGGGGCAGAGGCTAGTAGCTTCAGGCCCTCTCACCTGAGCGGTGTTGCCTGGAGGCCGCCTGCCTGGCACAGGACCAAGATGCTGAGAGCCAAGAAGGGGGAGGACTTCCCGAAGCCCATGATGCCTCTCTGCAAAAGGAGAAGAACATTACGGCTGCACCAAGACCAAGCCTGGCCTAGAGCCTGCAGACCTGGGTTCCAGTCCTGCCTCCGCCACAACTGCCTTGTGACCTCATGCCTTGGTTCTGTTCGTTTGTTGGATGGACTCCTGTGCATGTGCTCGGAAGAGCAGAAACAAGTGTCCTGGGTGAGGACAGGGAGCATTCTGGCTCTGTCCTGAGGGAAGTCAGAGAGAAGCCACAAAGGTGGCCATGCACAGGAACCCACACCTTCTGCCGGAGGCAGGAACCAGGTGTGGACCCACCCTGCTGCAGACTGCATCTCCTGTCCTCTCATAGCTGAGAAATCCAGGAGCCCCTTCCTCTTGGCTGAACTTCCCACTAACTCGGGGAGAGGAAAATGGGAAGGGTCAGTTGGAAGAGAGTGCTGAGGGTTTGGGTTTGGGGGAAATTTTTAACATGCCAGTTACTGGTGTCTCAGGGCTGTGCTGGACAGCAGTTTGGCAGTAGATCCTGGGTGCCAGCACCCCGAGTTGAGCCCAATGTTCTGGCTCACCAATTGCACTGCCTCGGGTCCCTGCCAACGCCCTAGGAACACTGGCGGGCTGGAGGCGCCTCAGAGGAAGGCTCAGGGCTCCCCGTTCTGGGAGCCAAATGTGGTCCCTGAGGACACAGTCCCCGAAGGGGATCCCAGACCCAACTCCTGTAGGATCCTGCATGCACCACTGCAGGGCCAGCCGGCCGGCAGACCCACCCATCTGGGCTTGTGGGGCTCCCAGCGCCCAGGGGAAGCCCTGAGGATGCTGGGGATTCCACTGGTGGTTATTAGAGAATGCACTGCCCATCCCAACCGCCCGCCCTCTCCCAAGGAGGACAGAGAGCTAGGAGCACCTTGCTGTAGATGAGACCAGATGGTGGTGAGAGGCAAAGGAAAGGCAGGCAGGCAAGTCCAGCAAACTGGACGAACTCAGCCAGAAGCAGGGGATTAGGGTGGAGTAGGAAGTTCCTCACCTGGCGAATGGAGTTGCGGGAGAGTGCCAGCAGCCGGTCCCCCTGGATGGACACAACGCCTGTTGTGGGTGTCTTCCCAGCGGAGCTCTTGGCTCTTATTCCAGGGATAGTGGGAGGGGTTCCCCACGAGCCTGCGTGGCCAATCCAAAGTGGCCAGGACCGACCCAGCTCCGATTGCGTCATTGCTCCCGCTCCCCGCACCGGTCCACTAGGGAGGGAGCCACCGGCTCAGACTGTCTTGCAATGAGGTCATTGCTTGGAGAGCTGGAGGGCTGGGAGAGGTTGGAGAGCCTTCGACGTCCAGAAAGTGGGGACAAATCGGGGAGTGTGGCGTCACCAAAAGTAAGAAGCCGGAGCTTTTCTCACTCTCTGAACTCTAGCCTTGCACCTGTCTCCTGCCGCTCCAGTACGGCCCCCCAGCCCGCCACCTGAACTCCCGGGGGCTGTTCTAAATGGAGCTCAGCTGAAACAGCCCTAGGCGAAGGAGGGAGGGGGTCCTGGAGTAGAGGGGCCTTGAGTGATCTCTTTGGACTACCTGGAGTGCACCTGTGCCATCCAGTTTCCTTTCTTCCCTCTCCCCACACACTAGGGTACCCCACCCCAACCCCACAAAGAAGTTTTATTTCCACTCTGGCAGCCTTCACCTCACTCCTCTGGGAATGGGTAGAAGTGAGGAAGGGGCTAAACTGGTGCAACCTGCACAGTGTCTAGCCCCCTAATCCTCAGAGAGGGAGCTTAGCAACCCCCTAACCCGGGACCCTCCACTGCAGCGCAGCTGTTGGTTTTAACAACCGCCCTGCCCCTCTGTTTGTTTGCCCAACTGCTGGGCGGGATCACTGCGCCCCGACTCTAGCTGCCTCACCCCATACACACGTTCCCTGAAGCGCTGGGTTACTAAGGGGGCCACAAGGGGAGGGTAAGCCCAAAGGTGCCCTTCGGACGTTCAGACTGGGCTGCAGGCGGGCGGGCGCGCGCGCTCGCGCTTCTCTGCCCGGCTCGCGGCCCGCACTCACGTCCCTGGACGCCAGCCAAACGTTCTGCCTGTCGCAGTCGCATTCACACACACACACACACACACACACACACACACACACACACAGCGCCTCCCAGATAAGCCAGCGCCCTCGTGAGCTGTTTGCAAATGAGCGCTCGCGCCCACCCATCAGACCAATTTCGTCGGAACCCCGAAGGCATCCCCTCGATCTCTGCTCGGGGAAATGGGCTTTTTCATATGCACAGCAGTGCCCAGTGTCCCCCAAGCTCGCACACAGACACACGCCCATTCACATCCACGCGCAGGGCCTGGGCCTCTCCCTTTTTCCTAAGGAAAGCCTGGTTCTCCGAGGCGGGGGGCGAAGACTCCAGCTCTGGCCATGGATTAGGCTGGAGGTAAAAACCAGGCGGAGTAAATGGGGGAGCGCCACCCACCCTCGGGGCCTTAGGCTGCCCCTGCGTAGTAGCTGCATCCCGAATGCACCCCACCGATCCCTCCTGAGCTCGGGAGGCTTTGGCCAAAGGCGCCGAGCAGGGAGGGAGTGGCCAGAGACTCCTGGGACCTTCTGGTTTGGGCGGGTCAGAAGAGAGTTCCGGAGATGTCAGTCTGGGCCCCTCCGCTCCCCGGATGTCTGTGGCAGGCAGAGTGCTCAGAGGCTGCACAGGCCAGAGGCTCAGGGGCTGCACAGGCCAGAGTCTCTCCAGCCCCCAGGAACCCGGGATGCCTAGAACGTGCCTGGGGCTGTAGCTGACACGGCGCGCCGGGCAGGGTCACTCCCAGGACCTCGGGAACCACTCCAGAAAGCACTACTCCGCAAGGGCTTCCTTTTGCACAGTGGGGAGTTTTCTCTGCGCCCAAAGTACTGAACTTGCTTTGGGATTTAATCAGGGACCTCGAAGCGGCTTTTACCAGGAGGCCCTTCCTCACAAATCCTGCGAATATGAGGGGAGATCCCTGTGCCCCTTTACCCATTTCCAACCTGGGAAAGGGGCTGTGAAGGACCAGGCACAGCTGGGAGGCCTTATCTGTCTAAAGCCTCTGCCCTCTTCCAGGACCTCTGCCCCCCCTCTTCCTCCCACTCCCAGCTCTGCGTCTGGCAGAGCATGCACCCCGCCCCACAGAGCTCTGGGGGCGTTGAGAAATAGCTGGGCAGCCTGGAGGGTCAGGGAAAGGGAAAGTGGGGGGCAAGGTCTGGAAGGCCCTAGACCCTGGAGCCCCAAGCTTCCTCACCTCCAAGAAGTTATCAGGGACTCTGAGTTCAGGAGCAGCTGGCCAGGAGTGCAGGAGGAGTAGGGTTGGGGTTTGGCCTCCCCAGAGGCCCCAAAAATGTGAGTTTGGGAGGAACTCTGAACCCTTGGGGCTGAGCACTGGAAAGCTGGCATCCTTTCCAGAGACTCTATGTCACTAGGACCTTTTTAACATGTTTGGACTGACAGCCCTGGGGGCACAATCCCTGGTTGTGCCTTGCTCTCCAAAGAGGAGTGCTGGGTGGCCCACAAATCCAGAAGAAATCTTGTTTGGGGAGAAGTAGGCTGAGATTCCTATAAAGGCCACAGAGAGGAGGAAACCTGCCCTTTGACAAGTAAGAGTGCACTCCAACCCAGACACCCATCTGAACACAAATATATCTGGTTCTAGGCTTTGAATATCTTCTTGGGTGCAGATGCACCCAGAATTATTTGACCTAATCTTCTACCTACTAACATGCATAATAGGTGCACAGCAAATGTGCAGGAAAAGGGGATGAATGAATGAACAGTTCCATGAGTTCATTACAGTAAGAGTCAGCAGTAAATTTGCAGCCAAGTTGATTTGGGCTGCAGACTCAATTTAGATTCATTAGATGGAAGGGCAAATAATTGATCCAAAGATTTTTTTTAATCTATTTAATAAAAGGAATTTATGTCCTGGTGAAAACTTTCTGGAATTTAATATGAGAGGAAGTGTACCCAGAGATTCTTTTCTCTTCTCTAGCAACTTGAAAAGCAAAACAAGGGAGAGTTTTCCTCAACCCATCTTTGTATGACATTAATGACTGATAGAAGAAAAAGTCAATAAAATAATTTACTTTCTAAAAGAGTAAATTACATTTTGATTTCCCTGGAACTGTTCAGAAGCTACAAGGCATCCCCAATCAAAATAGCATAAGAATTTAAGGAGAATAATATCCCAGGAATATTTTTCTCTTTTGAATAATCTCAAATATTTTGATGCTGAATTTAACTATTTAATGTAATTACTTTTAAATTTTGAAAATTATAATCTCAAATTTTTAGAGAAAAACAGATTCCAGGTACCACAGCTTTTAAAGTTTATTTTTTTTACTTTCACTTACTGTGTTTTCTTTAGAAATTTCCTAGGAAACATATGGTTTAGGGGAAATTTTCATTCATTCAAACAAATATTTATGGAAGACCTACTATGTGCCAAGCATCATTGTTCTAGGTACTAGCAGTTCACAGTAAACAATACAAAACCCTCCTTAGATTAGATTACCATGATGTCTTTAACAGGAGTTCTTTTACATCACCCTATACCCAAATAAAACACATCCCTATCCTATTCATCCTCTCAATATAGTCATATCATCTATTTGTTTGTCAAATAGATATTCAGAGTTTATATTATTATTTTTGCCACCACCTTTATCCTCCCCATACCTTTCTCCACCTCTACCTCCTCTAACTCACCCTCAAACACTACAATGTTATGAGTGTCTATGAGTTCTTTCTCTCTTTTATTTCTTTTTTGATCAATCCCTCCACCCCTCAGAGCAGTCAGTCTGCTCTCTATGAGACTGTCTCTATTTGGCTTGTTCAGGTTGTTCTTTAGATTCCACACATGAGTGAAATCATATGATATCTGTCTTTCTCTGACTTAACTTATTTCACTTAGTATATTTTTAAATATAATTTATATGTAAATAAAATACAGCAAAAATATGTTTTTGTTTAAGGAGGGGGAAAAATGTAGACTTTTCTTCTTTATTACAGCTG